ATCGAGATATTAATAAGGAACCAGCAGATCAAGTAGCTTTTGGAATAAAACACCAATTTTTTTAAAATTAAACACTATCTAAAGATTTGCATCGAAGCGTTTATTTTTGATAGTGATTTTAATCACTATCAGATATCATTATACTTGATCCAACTATGCCACGTCACCACTGTGCCGCGACCCCCCTGTGCTGGGTTTTTTTTTATTGATTTTCCTATTCTAAATTTTGATAGAATATATCTTTAACAAAAGTATAATCCCCCTTATCTTCAATCTTTATTTCTTTTGAATTTGTACGCTATTGACCTTTGCAATGTACACATATAGTAGAACATTTAAGCTCTATTTTTCGACAGTCACAATTTTTACCAGCTCCAGCACCTGACTAAACCCCAAAACGTTTTATGACAATTATCTTTATCATTTTAGAAATTGTAAGATTTAATTTGACAAATGTTTTATAGGGCGCAAATGAAAATTTTAACACTTTTACGGGGAACGAGAGAATTTTTATTAATTTTTAAGGGTAATGTCTTCAACTAGATACGATTTGTGATCTTTTGATATATTGTTCATCAATTAAAAGAGTTTTATACAAGAAAACTCCTATTAATAATGAAAATTGCCAACATTTTACATTTTAAATTTTAACCTTTCTAAAAAATAATTATTTATATATTAAAGTAAAAATAATACAAAACAATTTATATAATGTAATATTATATTATTACTTATAATATTAACGTATGATATTATGTACATTCATGTCACATATTATGAATATACAAGATCACCAAAACAAGGTTCTCTTATTTAAAATACAAAATAACCAGTTTATTATGGCATAAAATCTAATTGTTGTAGAGATTTATAAGTAATGCCTACACGCAGGGCCCCATTACAATTAAACAATTAGAATAGAAAGCATCAGTTTCCAAGATCACGCTAGGGATCGCTGAACTACCCCTTTCAGACTATAAAAAGTCATTTTTCGCCGTCTAAACCAGTTCTTTCGGCGATTTTAAAATACACAAAATCTACGACACTCTACTCAAGACTTCACTCTCCAGGACTTAGTCGTTTTATTAATTAATTTGGACTTGGAATATTTTTCTTTAATACTAAATGACACTTAGAAATTATAAAGTGAATTTTGTTTTGGTGAATCTTTTAATTTAATTTAATTTATTTATTAAATAATGTTTTATTTCTATTATTATGGAAATAATTATCAAATAATATGAAATCTGTTTTTAATTATTTTATTTTAATACTAAATAACCCAACTTTAAATTTTTATTTAATGATAAAAATCTGTAGTGAGCTTTTCTTATTGGGTAGCTAGTCTCTGAGCTTAATGTCTTTGTTCTAACGAACATCGTGTCGGCGGACAGCGCAAAGAAACTTATGAATATATTTTTAGTGTTTAATTTTTGTCTTTGACATTATTGTGCCGCATCCTTTGAGGCACTAATGCCGGGACACATTGGTCCACCACAATTATGCCTTGATCAATTTTTTACATAGATATAAATATTTTGGAATCTTGTTTTGGTCAGGCCAGAGGAAGATTTAAGAAATATTGGTGTCGATTTCTCAATAAAATATACACTCTAAAAAAAAATACCTATTCAACAAACGTAAAAAATTAATAAGGACAAATTATAAATTATATTTCTAATAAAATAAAGATTGTTTAGAATCTTTTACAAGTAAAATCAGTCATAGATTTTGTGTAATTAAATTGTATTAGTTAAAATTTGAATCATTTTCGTAAGAATTATATGGATTTTGTGATGTGTAATGTAAATCGTATACGTAGTGCATTTTATACCACAATCAACATTGGATTACTTGAAATATTATTTCATTACATAGTACGTTAGATAAGTACAATTTAACCTATGCGTTCGAACCTCCAACAATCTATTGTGTAATAAACCATTAAATAATTAATAAGAAAATTAATTAATTAAACAGAATTATATAATTTTAAAACATTTAACATTCCAAATATTCCCCTACAATTCCAAACAATTCCTCAATCAATTCTAATCTATATTCTATATTTCTTTTTCTTTTTATTCCTTTTATTTTATTTTTCTAAATATTTATATCTTAGACAAAACTTTTTTAAATAATTAATTTATAGTTTCAAAATTATAAAATTTTAAAAGTTTAAAATTATAATCATCTTTGATAATTTATACTTAAGATTAAATATATCAGAAATCTACCTTTAAATTTAATAAATATTGTATTATTATTTTTGAACCCTTTTAAAATCATTTTTAGGCGTTTTTCAACTTATCACTTTCATTAAGTAGTTATCTTAAATAATAAAAAAAAATTTCAAAACTTATTCAATACTAATATGCATAGTAATTGAATACTATGAAGTTTTTTAGAAATGTGAAACGTGTTTCTAATCAAAAGTTGTATAGTATAATATTCTACAAAAAATTAATTTCATTTAATTTAGTAATATTATTATATTCTGTAGAGAGATAAGAAAAATTAAATTATACAAAATATAATTTTTTTACATTAAGATAGTATTTATATATAATCATAACATTTTTTATGACAAAAAATTTTATAAGTTTTAATAAGAGTTATAGGGCTATTGAATTTAATAAATTAAGTGTGGAAATTGAACTATTTATCAAATTAATAATTTATTTAATCAAAAAAAATAAACTAATATAATATGTATTTCTAATATACATTCCGATATTCATATAAGGTACATAGTGTATGTTTTATAACTGCCATCAACATTTGCCTTCATTTTAAATCCTTTGTCTCGTTCTTTTGACTTAAGGGGTTTCGCACACTTTGTTGGCGTTTAAAAATCATCTCAAACGGATAGAAACAGAATCTTTTCGTGTAATCACATCGTACACAAAGAATAATATGATCAAAGGAAACAAAACAAAAGAGCCTAGCGAATACCCTCTATTGCCACCGGAGTTGATTAATAAAACCGAGAGCCCTTTGATAGCTTTTGAAATTTAAGGAAACACTTTATGTCGACTTTATTTCAGTATGTAGCTTTGAAAACTATGAGCGAAGAAGTAATATTACGAGCCAAGAAAACCAATGAATCTTTAAACTGGATTGCGAATTGTTATTTTCCCTCTTATACACTTCCAACTAAGAAAAACAAAATAAATAAATATTTAACTAATACACAATTTATTAAAACAAAATCCGTTGGAATTATTTATAGAAGTTTATATCTATTAACCTAATAAAAAATAGCTTATTAAGTAATGAATTTATATTCTAAAATGAAGAGTCATATGATTATAGATGATTTACTCAAAAATATCGCGATTATTTTTGGATTCTAATAAGTTAAGTTCTATTTATTGGAAAAATGTTTTGAATATGTATCGAGAAAATACATTGCGTGCCATTAAAATTTTTTTTCAATTACAAAATTTGGCGTATTTCGTGTGTAGAACGATTAAAAATCATGACGAAGGACACAAAAATCATCTTTAATAATTTATTCATCCCATAATATTTTATTATAATATAATGAAAATTGTGGCGTGGTTGGGTTCTTAAATTAAAATCTTTATCAAAGGAAAGATGAACAAATATTTTACTAGAAAATAAAGCAGAATAACTATCAAAGTTTAAATTCAAGAATTTTATATAAATTAAAAAAAAAATAAATAAATATACTAACACGTTATAAGGGTATGAACTTAATTTTTTTTACTGACAATACATATATTTAATTAGCTTATAAAATAAAAAATAAGAAAATAAGAAAATTACTAGTTGTTATCTAGCACACATTTTTGTAATTGCATTATATTTTATTTTATAATGTAATTAAATATATATGTTCCGATTTATAAATAAATAACGTTATAACGTATAAGGGATGATTTAAAATAATACTTAATAATTAAATAATCGAAAAATACATAAAACTAAAAAATACCAAAGAAATCTTCTCTCGATAACGCTTATTCTAAGAAAAATTGTGTTGATAATATTAAAAGAGTCACTATGCATTAAAATTTTAAATTGTTTTTTTGCTACTTTACTTTAACAAAAACTTGTTTATGTATAAATGCGTGGGAAATAATGCATGTTAAAATATTGAGGTTTGAATTCATTGCCAACATTTTGTTGAACTTTACTCGTTTGTTTCATGCATTAAATATAATCGAATATTGTATTAACGCAAACTTGAAACTTTTTCACTAACTTGGTTATATGTGTTTTTAACAGTTCAATAATGCCTAATGGTGATTCTATATGCTCAGCGGATTCAACAACTTATTAATAAATTATTTATCGTGCACGAGTCCATATTATAAAGTCCTAATTTTTTTTTTTTTTCATAGATATGTGTGTCATAAGAATTTGAAAATCCGCGGCTCCGAACCATAAATATAATAGCGTCAATATGACATTATTCAAGTTTTATTAATAGTAAATTGTTCAGAATTTAACCTAAAAAAAATGGTTTGATTTATACTTGTTTTATTGTATTAACGTTTTAGTTGGAAATATCTGCTATTTCAATTCGGCGTGCTGAATGAATAATAAATATTATCATCAGTTTAGAAAAAGTTATCGGGATATAAATATTTGGCAAAATTCCTTTTCGTTTTAACGGCTTATCGGTTGGGTGGTTTTTAAGTTCCATATGTGATATATACAGTTTGGCCGACCGGTTAAAGCGTCTCCGGTAGGACATAAAAGTTTTGTAATAATAATTATAAAATGTCCTGACGGTGAACGGTTGTAGGAAACTTTGCACGTTCGTTCTTTGGCTCGGTGCCAACTAATCCACCGGCTTGACAGAGTCTTAAGTGTAATCTAGTTTTTATACTTGTTAGATTATTTTTTCGCTTTTCAAATAGTTATATGTATTACCATAACATCGTGTTATTAGACTCACGTGTTGTCTGCTCACATTTTATCCACATCCGGAATGGTATATTTATACATTTTATTCTCATACAGCGCACATTTACTCGGATCATATTAAACCTATTGCCATTATGGTTAAAAACGTTATGTATAGCAAGAGCTATTCCACAAGATACTCTCCAGTTCTCTTTTTGGCGCATGAAATAGTATCCAATTAGTCAATCTACGCGTGTTTACGTTTACAAATTCGTTTTGATGACTACTATAAAAATGCACACCGCGAAAACTACGAGCCGATAGATTACTCGGTCTTATGAAATTGTTTGCTTAATGTTTATATGAGAGACTGACAAAATCAGCTTATTTTAGTTTAACTGGTTAGTATACTATCGGCACAGTACAGCACAAGCTATCATCAACATGCGTGCAGGGTCATTATAATAACATAAACCGCGTTTCGTTACACTAACGAGATAAATATTATTTATTAAACGGTTGCTGTTTTGTCAAACGTTAAACAGAATTGTAGTTAAAGTGTATTATTCAAGACATTAGTGCTCGTACCATAAATACAAAATTCTAGTCACCGGGTTTCATAAAAGATTTAAAAATTAATATGATTGTGTTTAGAGTCGCTCATAATGTTTAAATAATACGTTTTCGTCTGTTTGGTAAAACATTCGCGAAAACTTCAAACATCAGGTTTGTGTTAATTGATGAAATCTTCATTAAACGTAATACGTGCTCAGTGTAAAATCGTTTAGTATTTTAATTTATACGACCGTACGTGGTTCAGTAAAATTATTATATCCGTAGCGTTTGCCTTGTTTACTACTCTTACGCACTTCTCTTTTAACTTAACTGCGCATTGGTTCTGCAAATAGTATCTTAAGGGACGTTTAATATGCCAGGGGCTTAGGCATATTTTAAGCGAGTTTCCAGGCAATAATAATAATAAAAATAATAATGTATGTAAACATACACGCTAAATTGCGAAAGCAGGACGAATTGCGTTCAGAGAATATTTACACAAAAACTGAAAGTGTTTAAGTCCACAAAAAGACATCGTATAAATTTGCCGTGCAATACTGTGAAAATCGTCCATTCGTGCGTATATTAAATAATGTCAATATTTCAGCTCGTAAATCATCATAATGTGTTGGTACGTATAACATTCAAAACATCGTTTAATTTATTTTATTGTTATTTGCTGCAGCGTATGTGGATTCTATGTACGTTTTACACCTCGCGGTAACAATAGCAATCAACCATTGTAAACATGTATAAATAATATAAATTTAAAGTTAATTTATGATGCGTATGTCAAACTAGATACCATTTTTCGGAAAATGTCCGGCATAACAATTTTGTTTGACGTTATTTGCATTACGTTATTTTATATGAATATTGTATTTTTCTCACTTTTGTATTATTATTATAATGTCATTAATAGTTGGGATTTGTTGTTTGCTGATTTCAGTACTTTAACCCAGTATCCAAATGAGCAATAATTGTTGAAAGTACATTGTAACGACTTATTAATCATTTTAAAATCAATGGTGTCGGCCTTACAACTCACTAAAACTCCGACGACAATAAGTTTGATTATAAGCTTATTAAGTTGTAAATAATTGTTTAAATAATACTTTCAATTTTTTAGGATAGTGCTATGAAGATATAAAATGGTAAAATAATAATGTTTGTTTAATTTTTTCCAAACGAAATAAGCTTTAGACTATTTAACAGGTAATTTAATAAAAATATATATATATATATATTTAATATTTCGAAAATATTAATTGCCATAATTTCAAATGACTAGTTTAGATTAGAAAAGGGTAAATAATTAATAAAATAAGTAGATATTATTTGATTTGTTAAATGAAATGTAAAAACTCGCAGTATTTTTAAAATGGATGTATTATACAAAGAAATTTTATAAGTATATAATTTTACAATATATTACTTATTAAGCAAACATCTAAAATAAACTTTTTTGTACATTTCAACTATAACTATTTGTATACTTTTAAACAATAGAGATTTTTAATCGTTAAAACTTGTCATTTCATAGTGTAATATTTAAAATAATATTTTTTATATTACTGACCTGTTTCAAATCTAAATCTAAATTGACATAATGATAAAGGTCGCCGATTTGAAGAGACGGACTTTGCCACCAAGTTCCCGTGCTATTATCCACAGCTTTACCTGGTCCATGAGCTTTGGCTGGGTCACCTGCCCGAGCATCACACACGCCACAAGTCTGCACGTTTCCAATACTATTAAATCTACAATATACTTCTGGTCCGCCGTTTTCCGTTTCTCCGCATGTCGCATTCGCCGTAACTATTGCTCGGGAAGCCAAATTGAATATAGACGGATATAATGCCTTTCCATCTACAACAAAAAAAAACATATATATTTATTTAATAAATTATCACAGTACTTAAATATTATTATTGGTGTGAATGACAAAGTTAAAAACACGACGAATATCTCTCCTCGTTTTTGACACAACTCTTTATTTAAAAGTAAATTCATATTTTTTGTAAATGTTAACGGTTATTATATGTAATATTTGGGTATCAAAACAATACTTTCTTTCATTTAGTAATTTCACTACATAAATAATCCAATGGTCATTTATTCTAATATTTATGACGAACAAAAACCTTTAAGGGTTCGTTTGAATTTAAGGAGTACCTTTTTATTTATATTTTAAAGTTTAGTGTGTCAATAGTATTAGGCTAACGGTGATGATGTTTTTTGTTTCTTCGGAGGTCAAAAGATTTTAGATGAGGATAAGCGGAAGCATGATGCCAAATGCAAATGCAACTTACCCCGTCTAATATATTTTCTTTAAATTTCAAAACTTTGATTTCTTTCAAACCTAGCCCTGTCACAGCTACAATAAAACGATTACCGTTTGCCACCTTTGGTATTGGCTTAGTGTCTTACAAGCTAAATTTCATTTTCAGATAGCTTTCTCCATTCTCACTGCTCTACCTATTCTCTGTTTCAGATTTCTATGGCTTAATTTGAGTTGCAATGTCAAGTTTCTGGTAAAGGAAGTTTTATCCTTCTTTCCGATGAATGAGTCTATGTTCGTAATACTTTGTTACAGATTTCCAGAATATTATTAAATCGCATTCAGATAATTTCAAGCTGATGTCAATTTTAATTGATTCTTATGTTCGTTTCAAGTAAGGATCTTATGAATATATTTCATGTATCCCCGATATGTTATGGGGAAATCTTCACTTCTTGACTTTTAACGACATTCCTCGTGTCCTTAAAATGTTGTAATCAGACAATGTGGCACACTTACAGCTGCGCCAAACCTACTTCGAGAATAATCCACTCCCTGGAGCAGTAGTGGACGTAGAGAGTTGGGTTTTCGTTAACCCAGATGACTTCTGGGAAGATAATTTTTCATTTGTCGATCTTAGAGATGATTTTATTAACCAATCTGCTAGAGAACAAAAAGACAAAGTTTGAAATGGTAATAGATCGCGTCACCTTTTCAGGTGAAGGAAAAAAGCTTTGTGTTAATTATTTGTTCGAGAACTGTGAGTGTGTATCGCCTACACTACGCATCAATGACGGCGAACAACACTTGAGGTAGGTCCCACTGCAGGTCGAAAACGTATACAAATTTCTAGTCGTTCTTGGTGAAATGGACTGATACTCAAGTAAGCCAATGGCTGAAATAGAGGCGTTCTTGAGAATTTTTAGTGTAATTACAACTGAAGCACTTGAAGTCGATGTTCTTTACTTCAGAGTGGGTAGCATATACAGTTCAAATCATTTTTATTAGTGTTAAACAACAATTCAATACGAAAAATGACCATGTTAATTAATTTAACAACCTACTATATAAGCCGAAAGTCAAATTTACATTTAAAAAAACAGGTGACCTTTAATGTAAATTATACTTATTACAACTTGGTTCAATTCATTTTTCTCGATATTGTCAGTTTTCGAAGAAAACTCGTTATATCAGGTAAAATAAGAATCCTCTTTTGAATGCGTTAAATCTTTCTAGTTAGTTATTTCATTAATTTCGCCATTAAACCCGTAATTTAATTTAAAATAAACGCATTTTATTTTGATACTAGTTATAAGCCTTAGGCGAACTTGAGTAAACTTTTTTAATTAAAATAAAAAGTAATGATGCTCTCGTGTTATGAAAAAAATATTTAATCCTCATTAGTTTGTATTGCAAGTAACAACTTTTAAATCAATTATTACATTGTGCTTTTTTTATTTTTTGAACAAAACACAAAAACTAATTTAATTTGTTTTTATTAATATATTTTTATTTTATTATTTCTTAGTATTTATAATATTCTCAATATTTTATATGCCCCTTGGTTAGATGTTCAAAAATTTAACTCTTAGTTCAAATTATAATACATTTTGTTATAATTTCAGTATTGCTTGTTACAAAAAATATCTGGTACAATCACATGATAATTTACTTATGAATACTTAAAAAAAAAACTATATTTTAATGAACTATTATAAGCTATTATATCCAATATCATCTGAACTATTAAGTTGTTTTCTTACAATATCACGTTCTGTTTTTTTTTCAGGTTATTATTTTACTATATATGACACATAACACTCTAATACATTTTTCTGAAATTCGATGCTGTAATTCAACAACAAACTACACTATTTGCAACGTTTGGTTTCATATTGATGAAAGAAGACTTATTGTTCTTATTTGTTTGAGAAACAATCGATCCGTGTATATTACTATGTGAATTATCGTTTATTTTACAGGGCCTTATTTAAATAGAAAAAAATTTACGTGCTCAAAGTCATGTTGCCATTTCACGTCAAAACCGCAAATACATAACTGATAGATTAGTCATCTTACAATCGTTTAATAAAACGTCAGATATTTTTACTTCAATACATAGTTATAATTGGTAAATTATATCATAAAATTAATATTTTTTAATATGTAAGACCTTTTACTAAAGCCAAGAATTTGCTCCTTCCAAAAATGGCCGATTCTATTTGACAGATCTAATAAAAAATATATGCATTATTTAAAATTAATGGAAAACTATGAAAGCAATCAGGGGTTAATCTATTTAAGCCTACTCAGGATGTTCAATTAAGACATAATATAGATGCAACTGAACACAAAATTCAAAACTTAATTTATTTTATTTAGAAAAGTCTAATAATATATTATATTTAAAATACAGATGGACAATTTGTAGGAATTGAAATAATTTTTAACATAGAGTACTAAAAATTATGTCAGTTTTTTTAATTTGAACGACAATTACACATAATTTGATTAAAACAAAAACTTTTGGTACTCATAAAAATTTAAGGTGTATTAAATAATTTAATTACATTAACATGATTTAATGACCTGTGGTACTTAAGTGCGGTTTTTTTACGAGTTTTTATATTCTAGTCTACCACTTTAAGTATTGACAAAATATAGATGCTTTTAATCAACATACAATTTTTATTAATTTGAACTTTTTTATTATACTTTTGTTAATATTTTTATTTTTCATAAGGTTTGGAATGACTATGACGAAAGATTCTTTCATAATTATATTAAATATACATTTTTTCTATGTCTAATAATTTTGTAATCAAAATTCGTGAAAAACTCATTAGATTATGATTTATAGTTTTTCACTTAACGGACAGCGATTAAAAGTAAAACACAAGGCAATAGGTTTGTTTGTATATACACAAGTATGCTTAGTTATTATCATAACTACAATCAAGGGAACATTATTAACAAACGGTCTGAATAACTCGGACGTGAATGTATTAATGTTCATATTATTTTTTAAATTTTGTATCACCATAAACTATTACGTCTTAAGTAAGCCAATTTGTGGTTCTAAATTTTGATAAACAAAAACGATGAATTAATGAGTGAACGCGACGCAAAAACATTAAATTTATTTTCTTGTGAGAACGTTAAATAAAATTCACTCAATTTCTTCTAAAACATTAATAATTTCATTTATGAATTATTAGGAAAAACTATGGTAATGACACGCATATAACTTTAATCATATACTTTAAAGTCAATTTTATAAGAACCGAGCTTAAATTTGTTCAAAAATTCGTATTACTAAAAATAAGTTTTGTTATGTAGTAGTTAATGTGTTTAAGTTTTTATAGTTGTTAATTAAAAAAAGAAAAATACTAAGTTTGGTTAAAATCCTAAATTTTGGATAACACTACGTATAACTTTTAAATGACGTACGTACAATATATATTTATATAATTTGTGAAAAATATACAAATCATTTTAATTTAGTCTTGGGTAATATAATTTTCACTAGAGTAAAAGAAATCATAACAAAAGTCATCTGACTTTAAAAAATGTCGCCCAAGTGTTATAGGACGAGGAAACCTATATAGCCAAGCATAAAAAAATGGGATCCCAGTACTGAACTAAGTAGGCCGCCTAAAATAATTGAGGTTTTGAAACATTTAGTGTTTGATAAAACTTTTTAGCAGATTATTTTTATTTAATAATCGATAAGTGCTCATCTGAACTTCTATATACTGTTAAATAGGTTGTAGGTAAAAATAAATAATTTTTGAGATTTCAAAGAATGTGCATTAAGAAATCTCTGAGAAAATACTTATATGACTTTATATAGAAGATTATAAGTTACGCGATTCAATTATTAAAATTATTATAAGTCTCAGACAATTATAAATCATATAGAACAATTAAATCCTATTCTTATCTGAAATCTGCGCGAACGTAAAAATAATTACGTGGCCTTTTTATTTAGGGAAGTTCAGAGCTCGCAAACGTTTTTTAACACATATATATAGTATGACTTATGCGTCTTTTTGTGAATTTTCGTGTTAATCATGTTTTTTTAAATTATTAACATATTTTTAACATATAAATTATACATGGGCTCAACATAAAAAAAATGAACTATAATTAAGTAAAATTAAATTTACAGTATATGTTTACTGTTGATTGTTATATATCCGTAGGAAATGTAATTGAACAAAGACCCCATTATTTTATTTCTACCGTGTTAAGGCTAATTACGTAAAATAAATGTCTTTTATAATGTCTTCCGATATTTCTCGGGCTTTATTATCAGGAAAATGAGATCCGTTACATCTGTCAAACGTCTTAGAGACGTTTAAAAATAGAAAACTGTCTAACTTATTACAAAACAAACTTGATGAAATATATTTTAAGAACAGAATGATTAAATTATTTAAAGAAAAACATAATTAAACTTCAATATTTATTCATCAATGTTGGTGTAAAACATTATGGTTTTATCCAAATTTTTGATAGTATGTCAAAGAAAACTTGTAATATAGAAACTATATGAATTAGGTATTGTATTTTTACTCTCTTAGTTATTTAACGGGTTTCGGTTTGAGGGTAAACATGTCAAATAATACATAAATACTTTCTGCATAGTTAATTAAAATAAAATACATTTTGTTATACCTGTGCGTTTAATTACCTTCTGCTTTTTTGGAAAGTAATAAAGGTTTTTAATACTTTCCGAGAAAGGTAAATGCTCGAACATTACAATAAATAAAGCTTATATACGTTGTATTATAACTTAAACGAATGCTAATCTTTAAATTATTTTTTATTAGCATTCACTCGGGGACGTTGGTTGATTATTTCCTTTAATAAAAGTAAAATTAAAATGCTGTAACGAGGTTTCAAGAAAATTGGAAGACTGGTTTTATCATCCATACTATTTTATTTACAACGAGTAATAAAATTTATTTAAATGTTTTATTGTTTCAGTGATAAAAAAACAATCTATTTTAAGTATCCCTGGTAATGGTTGAGGGCATGAAAAAAGTCTTGATTGATTTTTTACAAAAGTTTTAAAGAAAATAATTTATTATGAAAAAAAAAATAAAACTAAATAAATTTTTCTACTTAAAGATTTCGCTCGAGGGTTTACACAAAAAAGTAAATAAAAACAGCCATTTGGGTGATATAAAATAAAATGTCAAAAATCATATTTTTTGAGATACGTCCCTTTTGTATTGATAATTTATTTTTAAATTTACACTTTACCTTTTTATATGTTTTATAGCCAGGAATGGCAATATAAATCACGGGGCCTCGTGCAAACAAATTTTTTGCGGTGCTATTAAATTTTATTATTATTTTTATTAAACTACTTAATTTATGGGACTTTTCAAAGCACTTAAACATATGCGGGGGCACACATCGTACACCCTTACACGCTATCTCTCTATGAGATTGTATATATTGTTACACTAGTTAATCTACTATTAAAGTCATAAGATTGTAAACATAATCAAGATCATTAATCAAAAATTTTCTTGAAAGTACTGTACTGTAAAATGTTTTTGCAGATAACAGTTTTCGCTGCAATAGTACAAAATTTCTTTATTATATTGAAATTAAAACAAAACCCAGCACAGGGGGGTCGCGGCACAGTGGTGACGTGGCATAGTTGGATCAAGTATAATGATATCTGACAGTGATTAAAATCACTATCAAAAAAAAACGCTTCGATGCAAATCTTTAGATAGTGTTTAATTTTAAAAAATTGGTGGATTATTCCAAAAGCTTCATAAACTGCTAGTTCCTTATTAATATCCTGATTAAGACAAAGTATGTAGAATAAAAAAGAGATTATTAGAAAATAGTATTTCCCATAAAAAAATTATATTGATCAATACACTTTTCAATAAGTTATAGCATTATAATGTTAAAAATGTAAAAAATAAAATTGAGAATTTTCACACAATAATAGCATTTGGTAGCCATTTTCACCTTGAAGATAAAATAAAGTCCGAAATTTTTTTTTTCCATGATAAAGTATATTACATTAGCTTTAATTTAAGATATATATAAAAGTGTCAGACTTTCCGGAACACTTTCAAAATTTAAGTTGAAAAAGTCAATTTTTTGTGAAAAAGTTGTCATTTTGAATCCCCCCCTGTAGGCAGGTAAAAAGTCAGATTTATAAAAAAAATATACCAAATGATAGGTAAAGACATCATGCATCTACAAAAAAAAGAATTATATTGATCCATACATCTTTCGAGAAGTTA